TTCTAATTGTAATAATGTCAGATCTAATAAATAAAATAAACATTATTTCTCAATTATTTCTAACCGTTTCACCTACAATGATCTGGAATAACATATGAAGACACAGATGTAAAACGTTAAAACAATTTTACTGAAACATTTACTCTCCAATAAATGTGACGAATAAATATTCTAATACTCATATACTTGTGTGAGCCAACCATAATGGACGATTCGCATACGGAAAATCGTGGATAAAGTGACAGACTCGGTGAGTTTCTTTTTTCCAACGAGAGAACCAACGTTCTTCAAGAATGTCGGTTTTCCTTTCATCCTATAAATAGGTAGACATTAATAGGAGCCAGGTGACACGCTGATTCACTAACTGGATTTCCTATCAAGACAAAAGACACTGGCACAGACAAGGTACACGAATAGACATTGCATCTTTCGTGGCCCGTGACCTGAAATATCAACAGTTTTTTCACTAGTTTTCACTAGTAGCACACTCTACGTTTAACAACGGTGAGTTGAGAAATTAATGAATGCGCCAGCAATATGATTTTTGAGATCCATTACAAAGCTCGTCTGTGATTATACCAAATGAATAAACTGATACAAATAATTATACTGTATATCTCCAGATTCTAAAACACGAGATTAGTATTAAAAATTATTCCATTTTTTATTACGTATTCATGTGTGTGCCAGAAAGATCTCTATTCGTGTTCTACACTCTCCGAAAAACGAGTATTGTTTCCAACACGAAAGTACAAAAATTACTGCCTATAGTAACATTGTGATATAAATTTCTTACGTATTAAAGAGACTTGCCAAAGCTCACGATCGAAAATGCGCGTGTATTTATCAGGCAGAAAACTGTCGAACCACGCTAGATTCGTTTAAATTGAAGAAGGCGTGCACGAGCGTAGAAACGAATTCTCTGATCGGTCAAGGGTAAGCATACGCACATGTCGAACAATCGGCAATGTATGTATGTATGAAATATCGCGAAAGTAGCGCGGACAAAAATGGAGTCGCGGTGGCCTGTAATTAGTGGCAACGCGCCGCTTTTGTCGGCGAGCGTTTAATGTTTTTCCACCCGTGTACGTTTCGTACGCGAGATAACCTACACGCTAATTAACGAATCATAGTCGGTAGGCAGGAGCCTGTCGCCTTATTCGAACGCGACAGGGTTGATTTAGCAATTCCTAGGCGCCACGAGCAATCGGCCGAGAGTCCAGCTACACCGAGGGGCCAGCTTCCATTAACGGAGACCACGAATTAATCGAAACCACCGCGTTAAAATCCCGCAGAAACGTTTGTCTGACGACTAGGATCACAAACATCATACTTTCTGCAATATTTCGTTTCTGGTTTAGATGAAATATTACACTTTTTATGCGTGTAATTAAATTCCACAGAACGATAAAGTAAAACGAATAGTTAAAAATTTCTGAGAACAAATTCTATTGTACACGTCACGTAAGGTGTTTTGGCATTTAGTTAGTGTGTGAAAATCGGACAGGTGTGTTATAATTGACGTTCGTCAAGCTTGAAACCAGTTCTAAGTATACAGAATTTATTACTTGCTGGACACGTGCAGTGATTCGTGAAAGTGTGTCGAACGATTATAAGAATTTTTTTTTTCTTTTTTTATAAATGTATTACGTGTATTGATTTTCTCGTTTTAGTGATAAAATGAAGCTAGCGAAAATTAGAAATTTACTTCTGATGCTTTACACGGTTGGAAAACCAACCAACGATAGTTATTGATATTATAGACGAGACTGACAAATACTGAGTTATACCCAGAATTTGCCAGGCCAACGAGATAAATGTCGTCCGTTCGAACGAGGAACTTGCAAATTCTGGCATTTAATCGGCTGCCAAGTATGGCCGTTATTAAACACCGAGCCGGTCGTCGTTTCTATTGTGTCTAATTCTTGGATCGTAAATCGTAGAGGATCGTTGCACGTGCATGCTGTGCACGTAGTGCGTTACGAGCAACCAGTGCACGCATCATACCGTCCTTTATGGTAGTCGGTAATTTGCATTCCCCGCGAACGCTGGCTCTCATGTCTCCTCCGTTGTGTAAATAATGCCTCGTTCGCGAATCTAACGAGTTCGAGCAGCAATGTATTCGTGAGCTGATATCTCGACCACTGATTAAACGAATGAAAATTTCCCGCCACCTGAGAAAGGAATTCTTAATCCTCAAGAGTCAAAGTCTTTGCTGCGATCCATATTTCGATCTTTACACTCAGTCTGAAAGCAAATGAAAAGGATTAATTTAGAAGGACTAGGAGAAAATGCAGAATTTCTGAGAGATGCAAATGGATCGAAAATGAGAAGAAAAAGAGTCGAATTAATCTCGAGGAAGCACGTTATTTTTTTTTTTGTTTTTGCTTGTTATTCTTATTTACATTCCGTTTGAAAAAAAACTGTCCAAGTAAAAACCTTGCACTTTAAAGTGAAACCAAGTTAAAGATAATAATTGTTTTAATAATGTTTCAATACTCAGTTTGAATCATCGACAATTTTTCATCGTGTTGCTTCACAATCAAGTGTAAGTAAGTTCAAGTACTATCGAGTTTCACACAAAACGTATGAATTCCTAAGCTAATAAATTTCCATGGTAGCGTGCGGCATGCGATCTCGAATCCTCAAACGTATTTCGTTGATTGAACGCTAGGAAACGTCGGTCGCTAATTGCCGAAGGAATACGCTCAAACCCCGTTGGCCAATAATAAATAACATCGAACTAATTGACTACCAGAAGATCCTCTTTATTTATTTACTTTTCTCTCTTTTCGATCTTTTGATAGAAGTTCGACGTCCGTTTCATCTTCTCGACGATTTATCGTAACAAACAAATTCGAACGACGAATCGAAATTCGAAATTAATTTCAATTTTAATAGCGCATAGTTTCAAGTTATCGAAGAAATTTCTTTCTACCTATACAATTATTCTTCCTCCTTGCTCAAATTCATATCTTGCCACCATCGTTCGAAATTAATTTCAATTTCAATAGCGCACATCTTTAGAAAAAGTTGAAGAAGCAAAAGACTCGGGAATGGAGTCTCTGGCATTTCAAGCAAATCCACGATTACACACCACCGGACATGTTACAGTGATTGAACGATCCGATTTGTCACCCAAGAAATTAACGATCCTTTGACCTGTACTCTCACGATGAATTACACCACGTCCTCGAAAAGTGGCATTGTTTATTATAATAACACGTAAATCACCGTTCCACGTGTTAATAGACACGATTCTCGTGTTCCAACGAAAACCATTATCCTTCACCACGACAGTGAGAACCCACGTGAGAAATCGGCGTGAATTACACAGGAAGCGAGAGCTCGTCCCGAAGGCGAGCTGGCGGAGTGATTCGATTTTTCCGCAATAAAAGTGAGACGTCGCGATCGCCGATTGCCGCGAAACGCGTCGACGCATCGAATCGAGGACGTTGCGGCGGAATAAACGAGCCATCAGAGCACCAATAACGACGTGCCGCTAGAATTTATTACACCTGCCGGGCAAACCTATAAACAGAGATCATTAAAGCACGACGGTGACGTTCGCGGTTACGGCCCAGACGAGGTTCAATCGCCGATCGGATAATTGATTTCGTTCGTTCGCCGGAGGAGAAGAGGCGCACGACCTCGGCTTCGCGTTCGCTGCTAAGCTCTCTCTGCTCCATAAATGGCGGTTTTCCGCGGGACCGTTGGTTCGAGAATTCGCTACACAGCGATTGGAATATATACACGGAGCAAGAATTTCATACGTTCGAACATCATTCTGTATTTAATTCTCTCTATTTCCGCGTGGTGTTTCTTAATTTCTGTTCGGCCGATGATCGAGATCTTCAAAACTCCCGAGATTACCAAGTTTGCCAAGGCTATCAATAGTATTTCGTTGTAATTTTTTATTTATTATTTATAATGTGTGTGTTTTTTAATTTATGCATTGAGATTTTATCGAGACTGTGACTTTTGTGAAGATTATCAGAATTATGTCGAGAACTTTGAAAATTAACAAGATTTCTGAGATCGTCAAGACTCTGAAACTACGAAAATTGTCAAGCACTTTCAGAAATATCAGATCCTACACAAAATGATACAAATATCGAAACTGAGATCACGTCGAATGCACATCACCAGAGTTTATGTTTATATATATACAGAATACAAGCGTGTTTTAATATACATACACAGTATTTTTACATACATACATATGTATTTTTATTGAAACTATCAAGTCTATTAAAAATCATATGAATTGGGACACACGTATGTATTAGTTACAGGTACACACATGTAAAAAAATACGCCAAATGAAACAAGCATGCCTGTATTAGTAACATGTTCACATGTGTATCAAAAACTATGTGAATCGAGATACAGACATATGTATTAATTTATGCAAGTATACACGAATTGCATGAATTAATTAAATTGAAACGCGGATATATGTACTAATTACACCTGTATTTTTTCGTCTTGTAAAAAATGTAGTACATGGATTGAAACGTTAATATATGTATTAATTAACAAACTTGTACGCACATTGTATTGTGTTTAAACTCAAGATCTCGATCGTTCGCTAATCGAGGGAACTTGCAATACTTGTTCCATAAGTTCACCATAGTAAAATTTCATTGTCTCAAGATTTCATGCGTAAGCAAGCCGCAAGAAAGCTTTTTATATTTCTCTTTGTCCTCTGATTCGGCGAATTCTCTCCGTATTCGATTGATTAGGTGTGACACGCGGAATAGGCGAATACGTATCTCGTATCCGCAACACTATTCGTTATCGCTGAAAAGAAAAACGAGCATAGCGTGCGAGACCAGCGTGAACGGTGACAAGCAATTAGTACCGACAATTAGCAGCAACGTGTTCAGTCGCGATCATGCCAAGGATAATTGCACGCTTATCCATCGCTCGTCTACTTTCAATGACGAATTCGCGAGCACTTTTTTTTTTGGTCACTTCCTGTGACGTTTACGTGTCGTAGATTTCAAATGTTCGTGCCCGGATCGGCCGATAAAATAACGAGATCGAAAGTGGATTCAAGTCGAACAAAGTTCCAATGTCGAGAGATATCGTTGATAATTTGCTATGATTATGCTCGGTAAAATGTAAA